GGGTTCAATCCCCCATCGGCATGTACATGAAGCAACTGATTGATGTTTCTCACATCGATGTTTCTCTCTCTCCCCCTTCCTTTTTCTAGAATCAATGAAAAACATATCCTCCAGTGAGGATTTTAAAAAAAGAGAGACAAAACTGTTATGGACTGAATGTCTGTGGTCTCCCTCCTCCCCAAATTTGTATATTGAAGTTTTGACCTGAAATACGACTATATTTGGAGATGGGAGCTATGAGGAGGTGAGAAAGTTTATTTATCTCATAAATGTAGAGCCCAGTATGATAGAGCTGGTGTCCTTGTAAGAAGAGAAATACCGGAGATGTCTCTCTCCTCCTGTGATGACACAGCCATAAGGGCCAGCTTTCACCAGACACCAACCTTGCTAGCACCTTGATCTTCGACTCCTAGCCTCCAGAACTGTGAGAAAATAAATTCCTGCAGTTTCAGCCACTGGTCTATGATATTTTGTTATGGCAGCCAGAGCAGATACAGCCACCAAATATAACATATGGACCTGCTTTTTATTCTGATTTGAGCAAACGAACAAACCCGTAAAATAACATCATTGAAACAAGTGGGAAAATTTTAATATGGGCTAGGAATTAAATGTTATTAAGGAATTATTGTTTGTTTTGTTAGGTATGATAATGGTATTGTGGTGTTTTTTAAAATATGATTTCATTGATTTGAGAGGAAGGGATAGGGACAGAGAGTTAGAAATACTGATGAGAAACACCAATGGGTTGCCTCACCACCCCCAACAGATCAAGCCTGAAACTCTGGCATGTGCCCCCACCAGGAATCGAACTGGCAACTTCACCTCAACCAACTAAGCCACATCAGTGGCTGGGCTGTGGTTTGTTTTTGTGGGGTTTTTTTTGTGTGTGTGTGGTTTTTAAATATATATATATTTTATTTCAGAGAGGAAGGGAGAGGGAGAGACAGAAACATCCATGATGGGAATCACTGATTGGCTGCCTCTGCCCCCCCCCATGGGGATAGAGCCCACAAGGAAACCCGGGCATGTGCCCTGACTTGGGAATTTAACTGTGACTTCCTGGTTCATCGGTCAATGCTCAACCACTGAGTCATGCCAGTCAGGCTGTGGTTTGTTTTTTAAAGTCCTTACTTAATAAAGATGCTTTCTCTACTCGGTCGTAAAAAAAGAAGGAAATTTTACCCTTTGCAATAGCATGGGTATGTAGGGTGCGGCTATAGGGTTAAGTCTCGGACTGACCTGTTGGCAAAGCCACAAACAAGTCACAGCTTAGAGGGTATGGTCCTCTTAGCATAATTAGGCTTGACCTTATCACACTCCCTAGATCTTATCTGGGAAGCTAATGGGCTGAGGGAGATGCAGCAAGTGCTGCCAAAACAAGTGAAACTCAAAGAACACTGTAACTATGGTGACCACTACCTTGTTTACTCTGGCTATAAAATAAAGGCTCAGCTTGCCTCTGGATCTCTCTCTGTGGCCTCAGCCAGGCACAGGAAGATCCATAGACCCAGCTTATTCTCTTTGTCTGTCATTTCTTCATCCTTCACCACCCTCACTTAGGCTTTTGAACCCTTGGCTGAGCTGGCTCGGCACATGGGTAGACCTGAAGAGTATTATGCTAAGTAAAATAAGCCAGTTAGAGAAAGACAAGCACCATATGATTTCACTCATATATGGAATCTAATGAACAAAATGAGCTAACAACCAAAACAGAGACAAACTCATAGATAGAGAGCAGGCTGGGAGTGGGGGTGGGAGTGGGTTTCTGGTGGGTGTGGAGGGATTGAGCAAAGAGGAAGAGAAAAAATTCATGGGGGAAAAAAGATACTTTCTGAATTACTTATGAGTAAAATATAATGCTTGGGATCTTCTTTAAAACACTTCAAAAAGAGAGAAGAATGCCCGGCTGGCATGGCTCAGTGGTTGAATATCAACCCAGGAACCAAGAGGTCGTGGGTTCGATTCCTGATCAGGGCACATGCCCAGTGTGCGGTGTGTAGGAGGCAGCCAATCAGTGATGTTTCTCTCTCATCAATGTTTCTATCTCTCTATCCCTCTCCTTTCCTCTCTCTCTCAAAATCAATTTTTTTAAAAAAGAGAGAAAAGTAGGTGGGAGGATAGGTTTTGATAAAATGTATTATCTGTACAAATAGCTGATGGGTATATAGGGGTTCATTATACCATTCTCTGTACTGTTGTGTATCTTTGAGATTTTTCCATAACAGTATTTTAGAAGAATGATGAGACTTAAGTATCATACAACGTATGCTAATAAAGTATATTTGTCAACAAACATTTTAAAGTATTTGATAACATGTATAAATGTATGTTAGCAAAATTATCAATGATCTCTGACTCTGGTGGGAAGATTCCATGCCCTCCCCTCCTCACACACACACCCAGTTTGCTGGCTCCCTGGATCCCCCTGGGGGGTGACAAATCTGCCAAGAACCTTCTTGAGAACAGAATCTACATCATATCACTTTTGTAACCCTTACAGGGCCATCCCAGAGATTCTGATTTAATCTGCCTGGAGTAGGACTCAGTATATTTTATCTTTTTAAAAATTGATTTGAGAGAGAGAGAGAGAGATTGGCTGCCTCCTGCACACCGCACACTGGACATGTGCCCTGATCAGGAATCTGTTGCCTCTCATACTCTCCTAAAGCAACAGAGGAATTGAATCCCCAACCTAGGTATGTACCCTGAACAGGAATTGAACCCGCCACCTCCTGGTGCACTGGAGGAACTGAGCCACACAGGCCAGGGGGTGGTTCCAGTACTTTTCAGAAACTCCCAAGAGGATTCTTATTTGCAGCCTGTAGGAACTACTGGGCCCTAAATTTGTTCTTGGTGCTAATAAATTTTTATAGAATCAGTGAATAAATTAACAAAGGGGCTCCCTTGATAGTCACAACAACGGAAAGGCAGATGGGAAACACCGTACACATTTTACGGCTGAAAAAACAGACTGAGAGAAAAGGGCATCCCCGCCCCACTCCAGTGAAACCAGTAGCTCTGGGAATACTCCTCCACACTGGCGAGAGCCATGGTGCCCAGAGTGGGTGTGGGGAGCAAGAATGGAGTTGTGCTGAGTCCATTTCCCTGGTCCTGCGGGTGATTCTCGCTCAATGAGGCCGGTGGTGGGGAAGAGGTCCTGGGGAGGGAAGGTGCAGGCCTAGGTTGGGGTTGACCTGATGCTCAGGGTGTATTTTTTACATAAAATCGCACAAAACTGAGGGAAGCCTAGGACTCGACTCCTATCCTCCCCACTCCGCTGCAAGCCTGTGGAGCTCCTATATATCCCCGGCAGACCTTCCCTCTTCTTTTTTTTAAAAAATATATTTTATTAATTTTTTACAGAGAGGAAGGGAGAGGGACACAGAGCCAGAAACATCGATGAGAGAGAAACATCGATCAGCTGCCTCCTGCACACTTCCTACTGGGGATGTGCCCGCAACCAAGGTACATGCCCTTGACCAGAATCGAACCTGGGACCCTTGAGTCCGCAGGCCGACGCTCTATCCACTGAGCCAAACTGGTCATGGCGACCTTCCCTCTTCTTGCTTTACCCTCCCCTACCATCTCCGAGCCCCAGCGAAGTGGTGGACCTCTGGGCCTCACCCCGAGCTGGCCGATGCTTGCAATGGGAACCGTCTGGTTTCCCGCTGTCCCTGCACCCACTCGAGCACAGCACACAGTTTGGTGACTACAGAGCCTGCGCATCCCCAGGTGCCATAGGGAAGGGGCTGTCAGAAAGGCCAACGCGCTTGAGCGCAAGAGCCCTCACTTCGCTGATGGCCGCAGCACACGGGTGGGGCTGGAGGCTGGTTTTTGACACAGTGTGAACTCCTCAAAGGTGGGGGTGCCTAGCGAGATAGAGATCTGGGAGGGAAGTTTCTGCTCCGAGGCCCTGGAAATCACGTGGCCTTACAACTGCCTTAAGGCCTGGTGCCTGGAAACCCCCGTCTCTCTCCAAAGCCCCGCCCCAAAACTCAGGGGTTTTTGTGTGAGTTTTGTTTTTTCACTGGTCAGGGCTGGAAGACACAGCAGCGATAGTTTCCTTTCAGCCGACCCCACTCGCTTTACAAATAAGGAAACGACTCCTATTGGGGAAATGACTCGCTCAGGTCTACACAGCAGTGGCCGGCTGATCCGACCCTTAGAATCCACCCACTTAGCCCGCTTCCCGGCCCCGGCTACCTGTTGCCATGGTGATGACTGCAGGCTCCGGCTGAGACTCGGACTGCGGTCGCAGGAGGCTGGAGAGGCTGACGACCGGGCTGGACACGCTGACCATGAACCAAGTCCCGTCCAGGGCCCGCGGGCAGCTCTGCTCTGGGGCCAGGCCCCTGACCCA